TTATGGACTCTTTTGTATCAAATGTAAATCTTTTTGCTTGAAAATCATAAAATATTTTCTTTTTCTCAAAATATATTTTACAATCTGTAAATATAAACGCTAGACACAAATGGAAAAATAATTTCGTTGGTTTTGCGTTTTTTTTTCTGGAATGAATGTTAAATTTATTCAATCAAATGTTTTTGTACAATAAATGAATATTTAAAAGAACAAAAATTTAATTAGATGGATATGAGCTACAATCGGGTCAGGAACCACAACTCCATAACGTTTATATTTATAGATTGTTGTAATTAAACATATGAAATGTAAACGATTATGTAAATTTCCAAAAATAGCTTGATCAAAAGAATAGAGATTGCAATTTTTATATGAAGAAAATCACCCCAATATACTGTAACATATAAATATAATAACGCAAATTAAACAAAAATTTTGAGGCATATTTTACGATTATATTTTAAAAAAAAGAAGCAAACAACAAATTATGGTATATTTTTATGTAATGTGAAAGTTTTGATAGGTTCTTACCGTATAGAACGACCGGAATTGCTAAGATGCGCCCTGAATAAGTACTTCAGCGAGCCGCTTTGAGTAACGTACACGTTTTTCTTCAATGGTCGTAGCTCCAAGACATTTATAAAAGGTATACTTATTCCCGTCTTAACAAGACAAACTTGTAAAGAATTTGATGTTGTCACATGAATGATCTCCTCTATAGTATCATTACTACTCACCGTTGTCCATATATTCGGACCAAAGTAAAGGTCGAAGTTCGGGTCGATTTTAAGACCATCGTAGTTTCCATATACGAATGTGGCCTTGATGAGATAGTTGGTGTCGCGGGTCACATTAAGACTGTAGCAGTTTCGTACTCCATCTGGAAAATATCTCAACGTCAAAGTCGGCTTATTGTAATCCGGTTCGAATTCCTTGGCGATTCTACCGGTTTTCCCGGTGTTAACTAAACCGGCATCCGATGTATACGTTAAACCGGTAGGGAGTGCCTTGTAAGGAGACTCGCGAGAGGCCAAACCGCAATCCACATTAATGAATCCTAATAAGACAATAGATGAAAAAAATAGCTTACAATCTAAGAATCCGTTGAAGAATACACACATATATAGACTAAGACAATAAACTTGTACGTACCGGTTGGATTTTGAGCTTGAACAATATGAAGTATAAGCAAAAAAGTAGCAATGAACACAAAATATCTCTCCATTTGTTTCTTCTTATTTTCCAATGGAGAGAGCTTAATTCAACATATCAAACTATGCAATATGATTATATGAACTACTTCTCAAAAGTCCGAAGTCAACTCCTTAATTATAAGACCAATGAATTGAATAAACAAATAATTGAGAATAATTTTGTTTTTCCACGGTGGAAAAATGATTCGATAAATCAAGTTGAGAGAAAATGACGCTCTTATGTCCTTT